TACACAACACATTAGAACTACCTTTAAAATGTCACGCTATTTTTTAAAATCATATACAATTTCAAAGTCAATGTTCGGCTTCAATACCCATGGGGTGATGGAATTTCAAAACTTGATAATGAAGTTGAAATCTCTCTGCCGTGATAAGCTCTTAATGAAGGTTGTGAGGTCATAGGTCGCCGTCCCAGAAAGCTTATAACCTTCAAAACCAAACACACCCCGCGTCATGACCTTTAGCACCGTAGGGCTATTCCCCCTGTGTCACCGACAGGGGCATTAATCAAGACACGCCAGTTGAAATGTCGGAATAACGACGGATAACTCGCAGACAAAGAGAGACAACCAGTGGAACGGAGGGGGGGGGGGGGGGGGGAGGGAAGCAATAACTTTTGTGGTGAGGGGGTGGGGGTAGAGCAGAGTGATCGGGTGTAGGTGGCGAGCGGTGTCTAGTTAAGAAAAATACCCGTGAAATTTGTTCCAGGAATGAGGTGATTAGTGGAGAGAGGAATGAAAGACGCGATCTATGAGTGATTGAGTTGTTGAGTTAGTGTACCTTTGCTGACCCGATCTAAGGTGTGGAGTGGGTGTGGTTTGGTAGGTAGCTCAAGACTTACCACTTTTTGTTTTTTTGCATGCGTGGCTTTAGAGGTAGAGCGCTATGTTGCTGACTCGAGATCGAATCCGGGTCCTAGTCAGTAAAACGTCCCTGAGTCCACTCAGCTCTGATGGGTACCTAACTCATGTTAGGGAAAATAAAGGCGGCTGGGCAAAGTGGTGACCACCCCTACCCTTCATATATCGTGGTCAAGAAACATATGAACTCTACTTCATCTTCCCAATCGATCGCTAGGTCTGAAAATTATTCATTACTTACTTTAAATGTTGCTAGCTTCATTATTTTTGTGACACGTTTTCTTTTCTAACAAAAGATCATTTATATACCGTTTAGAAGCGGCTGCTATAGAGATACAATATATATTTCTTTGGTAACAGCCATTTGTGATGAGATAGTGGTCACGGAATGAAGTAGTCAAGAGTAATTAATTAATAATTAAGTGAAACTAACTTTAGTATCTCTTGTCATTTTCAGACAAACGGCAAACACAACACAGCGACGTAGGTATGTGTGTTATTGTCAGTCTACCACATAATAAGACACAATGAGACACAATGAGACAAACATAGACACACATAGACACACATACACTGAGACACACAGAGACACGCTGACACACAATGTGACACATCACCAACAAACACACACACTACTCAAAACACAAACTACCACTCCCCACCAAACACTGCTACACACTACCACAAACACATACTAAAAACACTAAGACACACTACGATATTGTCCAACTCACTACCACACAACCACATACTTACAAACACTACGACATAGACCACTTACAACCTCACACAACCACATACTTACAAACACTCCGACATAGACCACTTACAACCTCAGACAACCACATACAACCCCACACTTCACACACATTACCCAGCACTTGCGCATTCCCACACAATCAGACACCACTAAATTATTAAAACTAAAAATATCCAACTAAACCTCATTTAGACAATAATAAAAAAAAATTAATAGCTATTTGACATTTTTTGTAACATTTCTCTCCCCATCGACAGATTTCTGTCATTTCCGTCAAGGAATTAATCGCTCTAAAATTCTAAAATCCAAACCCAAAGTTTGGATCCTTCAAAATAAAAACACCCAAGAAAACAATGTCATTTAGAAATATTTTTTTATTTAAATTCGAGGTCCTTGCTCACGTTCATAACTCCATGTTTCTGTTTCGTTACAATATGAACTGTTACTCGAATTACGAATTATCCGTTATCAATCTTAGCATTACTTAATTACTGAAGTAAAATGTAGTTAATTGGTAACAGTGAGAGATAATGACAAATCCGTTTACAAATAACGTATATATATATATATATATATATATATATATATATATATATATATATGTGTGTGTGTGTGTGTGTGTGTGTGTGTGTATACTTTTATTAAATCTATACTTATTTATACATACATAATTTATAATAATATAGACGGAGTGGTCTCCAGTTCGAATCCGGGTTCAAGTCAGCAGACCGTCCCTGAGTCCACCCAACTAAGGAAAGTCGGCTGGACATAGTGTTGACCACACTATCTCTTCATATGCCGAGGTCACAGAAACAAGTAAACTCTACTTCACTTTTCAGGTTTGAAAAGGGAACTTTACTTTATATATATATATATATATATATATATATATATATATATATATATATATATATATATATATATATATATATATATATATATATATATATATATACAAAGAGAGAGGGAAAGAGAAAGATATTATGTGTGTGAATCTTACCCGTTATTGAAGTCCTGGCAACGCTTCCCCATCTAATTATAAAATGCCATCAGTACATGTAGCGTGTAATCACATGCCTACACCTATCATGCATAACAACCAACCCCCACCTTTCACTGTTCTACAGGTAAATTCATCTACCACATGCCATAGGTAAGTAGGTAAATTCTGTAATACACGAGCATTCTTCTAGTCGAGAATTCCCCCCTCCCCTCCCTTCCCTCCTATCTGAAATCATCAATCAATGAGCCATGACGACATGCGTGTATGGTACCGTCTGCTACATGCCTGCGGCACTTGGCAAGATCGCCTGACTCGGTTGATGATGTGTGGGATGTGATGAGCGTGGTACAGGCAGGTTAATCACATACCACATCAGTGGTGTACCCTAGGGGAGGGAGAGATTATATCATTCCCTAGGGACACCACCATGAGTGTTCTATCAAGTTTTGTTACAGCTCTTGTATATATATATATATATATATATATATATATATATATATATATATATATATATATATATAGATAGATAGATAGATAGATAGATATATAGATATATAGATAGATATATAGATATATACGTATGTTTGTGTGCGTGTATTATTGAACTCCACCTTCATAACGAAATTATGACATTTTCACTAATCAGCAAGATTATCTTGTATCTGCTTTGAATGTCTTTAGTCTAAAACTACTTATGTACGTTGTTCTTTTTTTTAAACTTAAGGATTGTGTATGCAGTCTAGGCTTTTGAATTAGCTATATTGTTTTCCTGATGGAATTTTAAATTAGAACGTATCAACACTTTAATAATAAATGAAGAGATCTTTGAAAAAACATCTTTATCTGAATTCGATTTGATCGATATATGTTAGTCAATACAGCTACAGCACGAAACTAATCGTGCAGTAGATTTAATGTTCGATTAGCAAAGATTGATTTTATTGAGGGCAGTAGGAGGGTAGAGTTAGTTCGCTAATTTGTTCTCCTTACAGTTACGTTGGCTAAAAGTATAAAAAATGTAAATAACTTTTTAAAAAATTAAACAAATTATTATCGTCTGAGTTTCTTAATTGTATTGATTACACTATTGTAACAGCGATAATAATCTAAACAAAAAGGGTATGTTCTCTAGTATATCAAAATGAAGGATGGTATAAATAGTACATTTTTAATCGGTTTCTTTCGAACACACAAAAAACTAATATATTATTTTGTATTGTTTTAGAAAATACATTTCTTCATTAGCAGAATAGCCATTGTTTAAAATAGCAAGTCATGTTTTAATTATAAATCAACAACACTGAATAAACAAATTTCAGAATATTTTGACATTCTTCCCATTAATTAGGTAAATCATTATCCAAATTCAAAACATCGTCTCAAGCAATTTCTCAATTGAATTTTTCTTGTCATTAATAACTGTTTGTATTATCCACCAAATAAAAAGTGTACACACTGACATGGAGGCAATTTGTGCCTTCTGCCACGACAGGTCACCCTGCGCGTGTCTGACATGCTCGTGTCTGACGATGCGTGCTCACGGAGGACGCGCGTGCTTTTGATATGCTGATTCGGGTATGCTAATGAGAGCTGCATGTCGCTACGGTCGTCGGCTTTGTCGGGTTTAATGTCGCCCTAATCAAGGCACGGGGAGCAGGCGAGGGGGGGGGGGGCGGTCATTGGGGGCAACTCGATTAGAATTCTATGGGGGTAAGGGATAGGGGTGGGGGGTGGGGTGACCACGAAACCCAGGGAAGATTGTGTCGGCGGAGGATTGGGTGGGGGGGGGGGGGGACAGACTGATGATTGAGGATCGGGCCTAAAATTGGATTGAGGAATGGGCCTAAAATCTTTTTTTTTTTACTTCGACTGGTATGAGGGCGTACACACTAACACTAACACACAATGTTATATGTACAAACTGAGTTAACTATCAGAAAACATATGCATATATATGTATGTATATATATATATATATATATATATATATATATATATATATATATATATATATATATATATGTATACAAATTACTCTAGTATAATATATATAGAATATGTATGTAAAACAATACATATATCTGTAGCCTATGTAGCATAATAATATATATATATTGTATATAATAACACCCCCCTACACCCCAACAAGCATATAGAAATCACTTAATATAAAAAGTATAAAATGTAAAAGAAAAATGTCTAGTAGTAACCAAAACACAATTTTCTGTTAAGTAACCTCCCGTTTTTAAATGTCCCATGATATTATTGATATAACTCGTTAATAATTTGAATTTTTTAATGTAAATTCCGAGGAATTACGCCATCAGCATACTCCAAATGCGATATTCTTGCAAACTATTTGCATACATTATGATTAATTAAACAAATATAAAATATATGAAACATAATACCGCATTTATTTATTTTTAATTCTGTATATTGATTAGCTAGGCTATAGCATTTAAATTTTCATGAGAAGCGTCAAGTTAATGGTATGCTTAAAATTGAACTTGAACGAATAAAATAAACAGACGAGGCCACTAAAGATCTGATAAAAGTAATGAAACAAATGAAACAGTGAATGAGGCTCATACAAGGGCAAACCAAAACGTGAATGAGACTCATACAAGGGCAAACCAAACAGTGAATGAGGCTCATACAAGGGCAAACCAAACAGTGAATGAGGCTCATACAAGGGCAAACCAAACAGTGAATGAGGCTCATACAAGTGCAAACCAAACAGTGAATGAGGCAGGCTCATACAAGGGCAAACCAAACAGTGAATGAGGCTCATACAAGGGCAAACCAAACAGTGAATAAAGCTCATATAAGGAATAAATCGAACGCTCTCGGCTGAGACAAGATAAATGAAATGGAATCCGATATGCATTTTAATTGGCGGGTCACGTGTCTAGAAGCATTTGTTTAACTGAGTCGAGTTCGGCGCGGTCAACTGTTGTAGAGGTCGGTGCTTGCTCGTGCGGGATGTTCATTTTGAAATAATTGGTGCGTAGGAAGGAGGGAGTGATGATTGTATTGTTTTAGTTGTGGTGTGTGTGTGTGTGTGAATATATGTGTGGTTGTGGGAATAGAGCGAGAGGGTGGTTTATGAGGGAGAGGTGATTTTTATGTCTGTTTGTGGGGGGGGGGTTGATAGGAGTAGTTGGGGGTTGGGGGTGAGTTATGAGGATAGAGTTGGTGGACGGGTGAGTGGATTTTCAGTTACAGTATGGGTGTGTATGGGTTTTAAGTGAGTGAGTGTGTAATTTTATTGTGTGTGTGTGGGGGGGGGGGGGGGGGTTGGGTGGGTGTGGGATGTATCGAGCCAAGTGAGCAAATAAAGCAGTAGTGCGTACATTGGAGTTAGTAGACTCTTCAGGTCTTCTAGTGATATTACAGAGTTAGTTACTGGTGTGTGGGGCAAGGGGGGGGGGGGGATGCAGGGGGCTGCGGGAATGGCAATTAGTCACTGATTGGGGAGGGGGTGGGGGGGGGGGGGGGGCTAGAGTAGAGCGATGGAGAGATAACACACGATTTTCTGAATACCAGCATCTCTAGTTATCTCAACAGTACCAAGTTCCATCTACCTAAGATAATTCCTGGAGCTATGGTCGATCTATTGTAACGGTCGATGGTGCCTTATCTTGGTGGACGACTGCACATGTGAAGTTTCCATGGTCTCCATTCAGTTGTCAATTACTTTTTTAAATCAACATGCGGATACTATCAACCCACTTGCAGTGCGCTCGAATTAATTGTCATGATATTGTTTATAATTATTATTATATTTTTGAAATCTAAATGTAAATGTTCAATGTAAATGTAAATATATAAATGCAAATAAGAATTGTGATTATCATGTTGTTTTGTTTGTTTTTTTTATAACGTATTGTCTGTTTACTAAATTAATAGACAACTGCACATGACACTTCTCAATGGTCACTCAAAAAGAAATTGACAGGGCTAGAAACATAACACCATTCAATATAAAAAACGTTACTCATACAGACGTGGTTCAAATCGTGTACAAAACCAAGTATCAAACACGACAGTATTCTATATCAGTGGCGTAGCGAGGTCGGGTGTCACCCGGTGCGGCACTTAATGGTGTCGCCCCCTCACAGGCGTAGCGACTCTTCCCGGGGACAAACTTCAATTTTCGATTTGCACCCCCTCCCCCTCTCAAACTTTCGATTTGCACTCCCCTCAAACTTTCGATTTGCATCCCTCCCTCAGACTTTCGATTTGCACCCCCCTCAAACTTTCGATTTGCACCCCCACCTTCAATTTTTTCTCTATATATTTTACTATTTTTTGCCTTGGTGTCTCCCCCCTAAATGGTGTCACCCGGTGCTATCCGCCCCCGCCCCCCCCCCTCGCTACGCCTCTGTTCTATATAACACTCATTTCAAGCGCTGCCTCCCCCCTGATATCTTTGAGAGAAGCTCTGGGATAATCCAATCATCTACGACAGATGATCAATCAGAACGCAATCGGCTGCAAACTGATGCCCATCTGGTCAGTCTGTGGTCAATCGTTAATTTAGTGGCTCACTGGTTTTCGGACACACCGGAAACAAATGACCGCTTAGGGTTTGATTTCTCTTTGTACAAAAGTGGCCTATTCAAGCAATACATTCACTATCTAATGCGTCTTCATATCTTTCGGTTTCGGATGGGAATACATATTCCTGATTTGCTTAAAAGAGTGGGATTGTGGTATTAAACTGTGTTCACTTTCTAATTTCATTTATTGGAGATTTTATTAAAGTGTGTTTGAGTGTTATTATCAAAACATATTTTCTGTTATATCTATTTGTTAAACATCATACGTACGATTATAGGCCATGTATATTATATATATTTATATATATATATATATATATATATATATATATATATATATATATATATATATATATATATATATATACATATATAAATATATATATATATATATATATTTATATATATATATATATATATATATATATATATATATATATATATATATATATATATATATATATATATGTAAATATGTATGTATATGTATATATTGTAAATTGCATGTATGTATATGTATGTATGTATTTATATGTATATATGTATATAGTGTAGATATATATATATATATATGCACAGATCCCCTGAACCTACACTCAGGTACAAACAGATATTTTCTATTCCGAATTCCGGCGCAGATCCAACACATCTGAAATTGTTTGTTGGGGCCGTCAAGACGCTGTAGGTCAATCACAAACACGTTGTACGAGCCCAGGGTGAGTGACTGATACGTCCGTGGGGTATGGGGGGGCTGGTGCTAGTAGTGGGGTCTGGAATGTCTAATGCTTCTCCTCCCCCCCCCCTCCACCAGCAGGTACATGTTACAATCACGGGGTAAGAGGTAAACATAGATACCTTGATCTATTGAGGTGTCTGTTATCAAATTCATACCACTGCTTTAATGTATGTAATTTTTTTTTCATATTTTTTAGATAGTAGTCCTTACATATTACTAAATTTATAATGCAAGCTTAGACTTTATACGTTTTAACTCATTTAATACTGTTTTATAATACAAATAATATTAATTACGAGCCGACCCGCTGCGTATCATACGCCGCTATTTAGTTGTTTTTTTTTTCTACTTTTCAGTAATTTATAATTTGTGAATTCGACAGTACCAATGCTGCTACTGAAAATATTTGCTTAAAAACACTAACCCCCCCCCCCCCCCCCCCCCCCACGTGAAAGCAGCCTCCTCTTAGTTACCTCCTCTAAGTTTAAAATCGTTTCAAACTAAATTATCTGCCCCTAATAGCCGTCACTAAACCTGGCTGTACGGTTTGTAAACATTAACGTGACCACAGCTCAGCAGACCATGTGGGGGTGGGGTAGGGTGGTAGTGATAGTGATAGAGAGAAAGAGAGGGGACTGTAAGGAGGCGCTTGCAGCTTGTTTTCTAACGGCTCGCAGAGGAGAATTATATATATATAGATAATTATAATAATAATAATTACCTCTGAATTTATTTTCTTTAAAAAAAAAGGAAACACTCAAAGCCTTTTAAATTGTGTTTATTGCGTGTATTTCTATTTGTCTTGCAGGTTTAAAAAACGAAAATTTAAGAGTGATTTTCTAAAAATTTAAAAATTGAAACTAAAAAAAAAATACACTTTTAATACAGAATTTGCAGAAATATTTCTTAGTATCCCCCGTCCACCTTTCTTCCCCCCCCCCCCCTTTTCTGCCACCCCCCCCCCCCTTCACTGCCACCCCCTGTCAATTACTCCTCGCTTGTGTCCACTCCACCAGTTGCCTGGGATAATATGTCCCCATTTCTACGCTTGATTGACGGGTCTGTTTAAGCCGTGTGATTGACAGGTCACGCCAGCCCGGACTAGAAAAAGTAATTTTGTTTAGAAAAGAAATAATCACACATTTAATTCCCCTTGTGTGGGGTTTTCTCCCCTTTTGTTTCAGGTTATTAGGGCGGTGATAGAACGCAGACGGCGAGGTGATAAGTGGCAGAGGCGTGGTAGGGGGGTGGGGGGGGGGGGTGGCAGAGGTGTGGTTGGGGGGTGTCAGAGGTGTGGTAGAGGGGTGTCAGAGTTGTGGTAGGGGAGATAGCAGAGGCGTGGTAGGGGGATGGCAGAGGCGTGGTAGGGGAGATAGCAGAGGTGTGGTAGGGGGTGGCAGAGGCGTGGTAGAGGGTGGTTGAGGCGTGGTGAGGGGGTGGTAGAGGCGTGGTAGAGGATGGTAGAGGCGTGGTAGGGGGATGGCAGAGGCGTGGTGGGGGGGGGTGGCAGAGGCGTGGTGGGGGGGTGGCAGAGGTATTTTGGGGGGGATGGCAGAGGCGTGGTAGGGGGGTGGTAGAGGTGTGGTAGGGGGGTGTCAGAGGTGTGGTAGAGGGGGGTGGCAGAGGTGTGGTAGAGGGGGTGGCAGAGGCGTGGTAGGGGGATGGTAAAGGCGTGGTAGGGGGTGGTAGAAGCGTGGTAGGGTGGTGGTAGAGGCGTGGTAGATGGATATGGCCAGACGGGAAAAGTTCTTTGTGGCAGAGGCGTGTTAGAGAAAATGGCATTGTTGACAGGCTTTCTAAGCGGGAGATGTCTGGCAGGGGGTAACAATAAGGTGGTGGGGCTACATGACAGAGTGGTTTGTGGGGTTTTGAGGCAGAGGCGTGATAAAGGGTTGAGGGTGGGAATGTATATATATATATATATATATATATATATATATATATATATATATATATATATATATATATATATATATATATATATATATATATATATATATAATGCTTACGCATTCTAACAGGCAAGGTAAACGTAAACCAATATGGATTGATAAAGGAAATGAACACAATATATCAATATCAAATTGTACTAGAAAATCCAGCCGTGGAAGCTTTACGGTAACAAAAACAGTTTAAAAACTTGATTTACAGCGAGTTAAATCTTGAGTTCCTGGGCTGTCACGACCACGTGACTCCCGCGGGGGACAGCCCGGACATGCGCAGAAATCCGCATCATGTGGAACAATTTCAATGTATCCAACAAAACCCCTCCCGAATACCCCTCCCCCCTTCACGCATATCCAGCTCTAATCCTCCCAGGCAAGTTTCTCTGACGGCCGCCCCAGCGATGAAAGATGCATGTCTCTCCCCCGAGCAGCTCCCCCCCCCCCTGCCCCCACCGGGCGGACTGTGTCCCCGGAAGTGGAATGGAAGGTTGGTAGTTGCGGAGCCGGATATGGC